GGACAGAAGTATCTTATGCTCAGGGATGTTGGGACAGGAGTATCTTATGCTCAGGGATGTTGGGACAGGAGTATCTTAATGCTCAGGGATGTTGAGACAGGAGTATCTTATGCTCAGGGATGTTGGGACAGAAGTATCTTATGCTCAGGGATGTTGGGACAGAAGTATCTTATGCTCAGGGATGTTGGGACAGGAGTATCTTATGCTCAGGGATGTTGAGACAGGAGTATCTTATGCTCAGGGATGTTGGGACAGAAGTATCTTATGCTCAGGGATGTTGAGACAGGAGTATCTTATGCTCAGGGATGTTGGGACAGGTGTATCTTATGCTCAGGGATATTGGGACAGGAGTATCTTATGCCCAGGATGATCCTCTGATGATGTTTTAGAAGAAATGGTGTTGGTTATCCTGGGTGGCGGTGTTCGTCCCATGTTCTGGAATTCCTGTCACTACTTGGTCGAAGTACCACAATTCAGATTTCATAGGTGAGGAGTCGTAATATCCCACTACGTACTGTAGACAGGGATCTTCCTCCAATTAACTAGCGTCTACCCTGGTTGACCAGCCCAGTAGCAGAGCTGATAGTAAAAAAAACAACAACAATGGTTACATAAGGATTAAATAAGTATAACATTGAAGAAAGACTAAGGTGGTATTCTACTTCAGTGTCATTACTGGTAACCAGGTTAATCAGTAACAAAGAACAGAAATTCTCCTTGTAGATCACCTTACCTGATCAGGAGAAGAGTGGAGGTGAAGTGATTCTCCAAACTTCAAGCCATACCGGTAAGGTTAATACTGCCAGGAGTAGAAATTAAAGCAAATCAGACCCGAGGAACTGAAGTTTAGCCTCAGCCCGCTAGATGGTCTACCTGGAGTCTCCCTGAAGGCCATTCCGGGGATCAACGCCCCGCGGCCTGGTCCATAACCAGGCCTCCTGGTGGATCAGGGCCTGATCAACGAGGCTGTTACTGCTGGCCGCAACGTGGTCCAACGTACAAACCACAGCCCGGCTGATCTGGCACTGACTTTAGGTATCTGTCTAGCTCCCTCCCCTTATGGCTGGTGGAAGGCTGTTGAACAGTCTTGTGCCCGGATACTTATTGTGTTTTCTTTTAGTGTACCAGTGGTGCCCCTGTTTTCACTGGGGGTATGTTACATCGCCTACCAAGTCTTCTGCTTTCGTAGGGAGTGATTTCTGTGTGAAGGTTAGGGACCAGTCCCTCCAGAATTTTCCAGGTGTAGATTTTGATATCTCTTTCTCGCCTGCGCTTCAGTGAGTACAAGTCAAGTGCATCATGTTCAATTGTCCATCTTTCCTTGTGCTGCAAGATTTCAGTAGTCCTGTCGTGAAGCATAATTGGATTTGTAAGATAAGATTGTCAGTCTGTTGAGAAAGGGTCGACAGTTGTAAAAGTAATGTCTATTTCTCCACTAGAAATATTCTGGAAAGTTGACCCTTTTCTTTCGCAGTAACACGCTAATGGTTCCTGGGTGTCTGAACAACCATAACCCCCACACTGCTACACATCATCTTAGAACAACACATACCTAAAACACGACGTCTCCTGCGTTGCTCATCTGATCCTTTAC